TGCTTGCTCCAAATAGTACCTGTTTTATATAAAATAGAAAAAAACTGACAAGAGGCAGAGCAGTACCTGCTTTGGATGTGGGAAACAAACGCAAACCCCTGCTCTGAATGCCTTACACAACATCAGTTGGTCAGAAAAATGGAGAAACTGCTGGTTTGGCCTTCACTCATGAAACCCCATCATCTCGTAAATACTCCATTGCTATCAAGACTCTCTACTTCCTCTCCCCATTAAAATGGGAAACTGAGGACAAGGCTGAGAAAACAGACTGTTCTGAGCTATTTGTGTCTATCCACTGTCACTTATGAAAATACATTTTGTACTGATACCAGGACACACAAGTCTATGAAGTGAGTAACTGCCTGACCCACTAAGTGAAAGAGCTCATCCAAGAGGCTTCAAAGCTGTATTCACCCTCCTCCTGTATCACTAAACTAGGAATAAAAAAAGCTGTTACTGCTTTACAAGTGAAAATATACTGATTTTTCCATTGTGACCAGTTGTGTGTTAGGCTCAATTGCATCTCCCCTCCTCTCTTGAGCCAAAGTGAGTTATTCACTTACTTTACTTACTACCTATATGGTAGGCTTTAGTGGCTGCCTAAAATGTGAAGTAGTTTATTGAACAAAGATAGGAGTTAGGGTCAAACTGGTGGGAGAAAATGATGGTATTTGCTTTTGTGGTTTGTTTGTTTGTTTATTTGTGGGGGGTTTAAGATTAAAAGTGAACTTTCTTTTTTCCATGTTCATGGAAAAGAGGTCTAACAAAAAAACCACTGAAAAACTGCTGTGCTACATGAATTAAATATAGCGTTCTATAACTAGGTGCACAAGCTGACCCTTACTTAGTTAATTAGTCCTTGCTGTTCCTGAGACAGCATTGTTCTCTCTCCTTTCCCCAAGTATTCCTTGGTTTGGGAGAAAGGTCACTACCTTGCCCCTCCTAGTGATTGTCAACGAAGTATGAACCATCAAAGTCACCTAGAGTTTGGCTATTAACTTCAGCTATCTCATCTCGTCTAAGAAGCCAAGGGCATTGTTCCATTTAAGGACAATCAGACAGCAGCTGCCATTGCAAACACTTTTCAAATTGCAGTTAGATCTTAAACTGTGGGTGATGAAAACTGCAGAGAAGGGTGAAGAAATCTTAAAATAAGCAGTATCTGGCACTAAGGGATACCTAACTGACTTTTCAGGAAAGCACCGGTGTGTTGCCTTCTACACATGAACACGCCTTTCTTGTGCTACCATAAATACTGCGCATGTAAGGCCCGTGATAGGACAGTAGGTTAAGCAGCTATCTCTCCTTTCCATCTCCGTTTGGTTCTGGAAGTTCAAAAGTCACAAAACCAATTAACGCACAGACCGACCTATTCAGCTTCCTATCCACAAAGCAGCAACAGCAGCAGTCCCTTTGACCACCTTGTCTCCAAGGTGCTTTGGGCACTGCTGACCCTGCGGAGGTGCGCACCAAACACGTGGCCACAACGGAGTCAGGACTGTGGCAGGGACCTCTAATAAGCTGCTTTACCATTAACAGGGTAAGTACTCCACAGGCCAGCCAACAGACACAGCTAAGGCTTTCTTTGTACAAACCCACTGGGCTCAATTCAAGCGCAGAGATACGGGGACTTCCACTCTGCAGCCCTTAGACCTGTAAGGAGAGGCTGCGCTGGAAATGGAAACATCTGGAAAAGGATGATTCAGCCATCAAACATGGTCAAGGCTGTACAGAAACTCTGAATTAAAGGCAGCACACATCTCTATTCATGGTGTATCAGACTGGCTCTGCCTACTTTTGGGCTGTAACAGTTCCCTGACGCCCACCCCTCTCGTTCACCAAGAGTTTCAGAAAGCTTACATCACTGCTTCCACTCTCCAGAAAAGCTTACTGGCTTTCAGAAAAGTAATTAGGCTATTTCCTATTCTGGAAAAAAAGCCAAAATACAACAAACCACCACCACCAAAAACCAACCCAAACCTAAACCCAAACAAACAAAAAAACAAAACAAAACAAAAAACCCCACAAAACACCAAAACCAACCAATCAACCCCCCAAAAAACCCCACCAATGTATATTTAGTGGGAAATGGGGGGGAGGGGGGGAAGCATTAGAAATTTTGTGTCATTATTTGTAGTAATGATTCTGCAGTTTGCTTTCTAAATTTTGTTGCATTTAGTATTTTATTTCGGAGAAGAGAAATATAATTAGGAGCCAAGTACTTTCATACCAAAAATCTGAAAAATGGCTTAGCCAAGCTCAGATAAAATCAGCACCATAGTTAGAAGTTAAACTCTGGAGTTCCTAGCTCTTGTGCCTGAATTCAGATTGCCAAACCTACCTTTCATCAGCAAAACAGGAGTGCAAGAATTCGCATATAGGCTGGTTTTTGGAGCTATAATGGGTAGTATCTGCAGCAAGCGTATTAACTCTGTACAAAAAACAATGCCGCCTGAAGAAAGGAAAGAGACTGCTAGGGATGAATTATTTTTCTTTGGAGTTTTAAAGAGGATCATTCATCTTTGTAGTGTAAACCTACTACGACATATTTTTCTCTGACATTTTCTCCAGACTCCTCCTCTACTAATCAGTTGTCCTACAATGACACTGTAAAGTTTTTATAGGAAGAGCAGCATTAACAACTCAGCAACGATATCTCCTACCAGAACATGGACGTAACAAACACAGGCTAACTCCGTATTGAAAGAATGCTACCTATTGACGAGGAGCTAACATAGCCAAGGTCATTTTCCGTGGTGGCAAGTGCCTTACCTGTCTCTGAATTCACCTCTTCTGAAGCTGAGAATAATTGCTCTATTAAACTCAGGATATTAAAATATTTGGTTATCCATTAAAGAATGAAAACATTCACTACCATTTACTGAACAGCGTAATTCCTAAAAACGTCCGCCTGGCTCAGTTTCCTTCTATGGTTGTCTTGCATGCCCCACCGTCACCCTGCTCTAGCCCAGCACATACAGCGCTGTGACACTTCCTGGGGCTCCCGGGGGGGAATGGATTGGAGCTCCTCTCACATGGAGCTTCCCAAGGATGAGCTCTGCGGATACTGTATCATTTCTTTCTCATCAGACGTGACAGGCCCTTGCTCTTATGCAAAACAGAGGTTTTATTTTGCTTACTTAAGTTTTCAGGCAACTACATTTCTTACAGAACACAGATCTAAAGATACTCCAAGAATTAAAGTCCTAGCAGTAAAAAGGTTTCTATAGTTTACATTATAATGCTTACTTGCCAAACAATCAGCATGAAACATTCGCTGCTTTGTTTACTCATTAAAGAGCATTGACCGATGTGCTGTATAACTGGATTAATTTGGGCTGTTACAGAAGAAACTACAGACAGATGAAGAGCCACATTCTGTGTACAGTTATGCCTATGTTAAAAAAAAAAGATTTAGACACTCCCCACCCCAAAAAAAATTCCAACCAATAAACAACTGTTAAAATGACCAGTCTGCAATGGGAACTGCAAAGTGTGTAGTCAGAGTAATACTAGATCAAGAACTTAGCTTATGATTCAGCTGTGGGATTCAAAGGACAAACACATATAATGGAGACCTTGAAAAAGAACTCCAGCCTCAATTTTTATTTTGGAGAAGCAATTCAACTGCTTTGTCCCACCCACCTCACTTACAGTGGCTGTAAACTCAATTTAAACAACCAGCAAAATGGGGTTATGCCTGCTTTGCACCAGCATAAAGGAGACAGACTGTGGACATGAGAGAGAGAGAATTCTGCTGAAGTACTAAAATGCTCCATGAGTGTTGGCGAGACATTTTTCCCTTGCAGGCTGTGCCTTTTTTTCTGCTGCCATTGAAAAGCTGTGACTGAGGCATTTTAGGCACGTGGTGACAGATACCTGTTTGCTTGTTTAAATCCAGTCCCTTTGGGCAGAAACTAGAAGTTGTCCCCTTTTAATGACAGCTTGGAAATGGCTTAAAAAGCTGCAACTTTGTTGATACTGGCTGCCATTCTCAGTGTTAAATTCCACTAGTCTTATTCCTTAAACTAGATGCAATTTCCTGGCAAACAGCACTTTAACCCATAGATCTGATTTTATTTCATGAAGGGTGATGGTGACGCAGTTAGCTCTTCCTCTCTCCTCAATGAAAACCCCATTTTGGCAGTGTAATATTATCCAAGCTAGGAAAACTCTTGCTGCTCCATCATTCTGCTACAGTCTGACAGCAAAACACTCACAAATACATGTAGACAGTAAAACAGAAGCTATGCGTGTGCTGGAAAAACACCTGCATTGATGCAGAGATCCATCTGAGATACGTTTACACACTGCTTCAACCCCCTTGTACAGACCTTATTTTTGAGGCATGGAATTAAGTGAGTGAGCTTGTTCTGGTTTTCATAGTGAGTACTTCTGCCTATAAACTCCCTTAATTTAACATTTTCCCATTTTATTGGGCTTTAATGAAAGCATACAAAACCAAAATCAGATAATAATTAGTAAGTTAATATAAAACACAGGAAATACCAACTTATGCACATAATTATGATTGTCTACAAATAAACCTGGACACTATCTGGGGAATTTGAATCTCTAGTGCCTGGAATATTCCAAGCCCCACACAAGCTCACTGCAGAGACAATCCAGATTGGGAGTCATGGTGGTAATCCCAGAAAGGGCTAAGAATGTGTCCCAGCAGAAGCACTGTTGGGTGTTGATACCCAGTCCCAAGGACACATTCAGTCAAAGAGAAGACACTTGACTTTCATTTCATTAAATATTTTCTTGTACTATATTCCCTCAAGAAAACTGCATGGATGAATTTTTTACAGTACCAGAATTAACAGAGTTAAATGCCCTTAATAAACTCTTTGCTTTTGTTTTTAATTGATCACTGGTCTCCATCACAGCCACTCCACATATAAAATACTTCAACAGCTTAAAACAGTGTCAAGTATAGCTTTTTCTTCTAAAACCTCCTATGATATAAAAGCACATGTTTGTCTAGCAGGCCTTACCTCCAAAAGTCCATCCTCAGGTAGGTCTGTGCAGTGGACAGCATTCTGAATCTTGTTCCTCCCAAAGACAGCACGCAGGGTTCCAGGTCGGAGATAACGGGCTATTTCCTATTGAACACAAGAAAACCAAAAGACCTTTGTGAACCACATTGTTCCTTTATATCATGGGGGCAAGAGAAACTTATAAAGTAAAACATGATTGTGCTATTAATACGTGTGTGGTACACTATAAAAGAAAATTAAGAGGGAAATTCCAGCTTGCATTACACACGTACACAACTGCAAAAAACCACGACCAAGATTATGAAACCTAACTGCTTGAAATTGGGCCAATCAAGCCACCTTGGGTGAAATGCAGAACCCTTCATACTACACACACACACCTTCCTGGCACTTGTATTAATACAATTAGCTCACGTTAACAACTTTGCAGCTCTCAAGCATACAATGTGCTGTCCTTACTGAGCAGACACAACCGCACGACCTTGCAGACTTTGTCCCCTAACACTGAACTATTTGCCTCGGAACCTGACATTTCTGAAGCCCAGCTACTGAACAACCTCTCTCTCATCTCTGGGGTGCTTCTCTGACACCATGACTAGTGTCAACATCTGATCCCCTCTGAGGATCAGTCCAGACTCTCTCTACAACTTTCTCTGCTTTTTGAAGTTGACATTTCAATACTCTTCTTCATCTACAATGTCAAATGCCTCCATGGCCTCTCAGTGTTTCTCTTACTACAGCAGATACCACTCAGGTCCTGAGATAACATTCCTCCCCTACCTCTTTACTATGGTATATCTCCCATCTTATACCGCCAAGGACTGCCTTCATTGGCCATCCCCTCCACCATGCTCTTTCTTTCAAGGCATAATGCAGTCCTGCTGTACTTCTCTGCACTATCTCCTTGCAGTGTTGTCTTTTAACCTCTTTCCTATGCCAACTGTGCTACACCTCACTGGCCTGTCTTCCTAACACCCTGGAGCTCTTCCCCAAGCCTATGTCATGCACGGTGTGCCTCCTCTTAAAATTCAGTGGTGATGGCATTAAACCATTTTTCCCTCCTTAAAACCCTTTGGACAGTCTTCCGTAAGTGCCTCTTGAGCACCGCCCCCTGTGAGAGGACAGGTCAATGACAAGCTCAGACTGCAGCTACTGAATTTAAGAAAAAAATAAAGGAAGAAAAAGAAGAAAAAAAGGCCAACAGAGTCTACATTGGTCCCTTTCTGAAAAAGCACTGGGTACATTAAAGTGTAATCACTTTGGAAGTGGCCAGTGTGGTTTCATTGTGCCACTCCCAGGTGTTTGTTTCGGTGTCACAGCTGGAGGTTACTGCCCCCACAGCCAAGTCACCAGACTGGATTGTCCAAGCATTTGTTAATTTTCAGTGTCAAATGGATTCAAAGTGACTTCAGTAGTGGCTCTTGGCTGCCTGGAAAACTTTGCACAGGAACAGATGAGAAACACTTGTATGATGCACACTCTCTCCTGGGATGGCAGTGAATGTTTTAAGCTAGTCCAAAAAGACCTCACAAAAGCATTATGTGACAATACCCTTTAGCCACTTTCCAGCTTCACCCACTTGTCATGTCTCATTACTGAACTAAGACAATTGGACTTTAAGGGCGAGATCTTCTCTTAGCCCAGCAAGCCCTAGATATTCTCCTGTAATAACAATTAACAATTATGGTGGTCTGTTACCTAGTAACCTAGATCTGTTACCTACCTGGAAGACAATTAAACTGCTTTAATGCTTGCAGTGTGTCTAATCCAAAACATGCCGCAAGGAGAAGTTTCAGTTCCCCATTGTTACTGTGTGTACGTCACAAGTTATACAGGATCTTTGGATATGGATGTCAAGGATATTTGAATAAGATACACTCAACATCAAACAATTTTGCTTCAGAGGAAAGTTCAAGAGTTTCACTTTAAAAAAAAAGGCCCCAAGGAGAAAAAACCAAACAACTCCTCTACATGGTCCTCATTAAAGGCTTGCGATAAGAAAGTCTGCTGGAGAAACAAAAGTCACATGCCAGTTAACTATAGCTATGTGACACTCTAATCATAGACTCATAGAATTATAGAATGGTTTGGGTAGAAAAGACCTTAAAGACTGTAGTTCCAATCCCCCTGCCATCGGTGAGGACACCCTCCACTAGACCAGGTTGCCCAAACCCCATCCAACCTGGCCTTGAACACTGCCAGGGAGGGGGCCTCCACAACCTCTCTGGGCAACCTGTGCCAGTGCCTTGCCACCCTCACAGTGAAGAATTTCTTCCTAATATCTCATCTAAATGTACTCCTTCAGCTTAAGGCTGTTACCCCTTGTCCTATTACTATGTGCCCTCGTAAACAGTCCCTCTCCAGATTTCTTGTAGGCCCCTTTAGGTACTGGTAGGCTGCTATGAGGTCAAACCTTCCTTGAAACAACTGTTGATTCCAGTAACAACTAGCTGTCAGGAAGCCAGCAATAGCACTAGGCTTTCAATTATTTTAAGGCAAGTTTGGGCATATTAGAAAAAATATTAGTGTGGCTATAAAACCTTTGGAAACACTTTAGCAAGAAACAGCTCAAGTCTAACAAGCTAAAGCTTGGCATTTTATATTCTATTTATTTCCTATCCATCAAACTCTTTTGCTCAAACTGTTCTGTCCTCCAACAGATCTAAAAATGCTGCTGCTTATGAAACTTTCCCAAGTTTTTCCTTGACCCACCTTCCTCACCAAATCCACTTTTCTTTTTTTTTTTTTCTCCTTTCTTTAAAAGCAGCTATAACCTCCTGACTTACCATTTGTCCTACGCTCTCCTTTCTACTTCACAACTTAAGACCTCATGTTTCTTCTGTTGGACTCACTCTCTAACATTGGCAAAAGCTCCTACTTTTGCAGTACGCAATCTCCTGTTCTTCCTTCAATTTTTCCAACACAGGTTGCCACGCATTCTCCTGCCCTCCTGAAACTCATCAGTCATCTTGCACAAAAAGGGACTCATTCTGTTCTGCCTAGGATTGCATTAGATCAGAAGTACACAAAGGTAGGTCTCTCCAGCACTTTACATTGTTAGCACCTGATTAGTAAGAATCTTAAATAAGCCTTTCTTGCCATCAGTTAACAAACAGGATGAGAGGTAAAGCAGTCTCTGCTTACGTTTCCGTAGCCAAAAAAGGACAATAATTATCAATTACGAAGTTTTACTATTCGTCGCTTCTTACTACTCCACTGTATGGCTGGAAATCTTGGGAACCTTTCAGGGAAGGAGGAAGAGAGCTCCTTACAGAACTTACTCCTCATAGCACATATTAATATACACTCTTCTGCCTCACAACAGGAAGCTTGCCAAGCATTTTATTTATAAGGCCTCATCTGCAACAACAGGGAGAGACAAATATAATAGTGGGGTTTGGGTTGGTTCCCCCACACCCCTCCATCCCCTTTTAAGCCTCTTTTTCCTAAGTTTTCTGCTGAGTCTAGTTTCCAGAGTACGTATTTTGGTACTGGTTTTCAAAAACTTTTTGAAAGGAGTTGAGAGTGGGATGACGTAGGAGTTAAGAGCAGCTACAAATGTACCACATGCATGAGAGAAGAGTAACGTGTGCACTGGAACTTCATGTGCGCGTGTAAATGGGGATGCCACGAACTCACATCTCACACGAAGAATACGCTGTCTGCGTCACCCTCTTTGGTCTTATTCAGCACGCTATCTGATCACACATTACAGGCTGGGCTTTGATCTACAACTAGCCCTCTGAAGATCCTTGTCCTACACAAGATACAAATGCACACATTTCATGCTTCTATCATGTTTCTAACTGTGCCCAGTGCAACACTGCCTGTATGAAGTACTTAGCACATTCTAAAAATCTTTCTATTTCTGTACAAGCGAAGGGAAACAAAAATGTCACCAATGCCAGTAATATGTCAAAATCAGACTGAAAAATCATAAACAGTCATGAGCAAAGCTCATGAATTGCTTTTCCTTCAAATGGCTGTTTTTTCATGGGCTGGATGGGAAGTTATATAGAACAGTAACATGTATTCCATCCAAAACTACAGATTTCAAGAAAATTTGGCCAGGTTTTTTAAAGCATCTGCCCTGAATACTTAATTGGGTATCTAGAGAGGCCAAAAGGCCACCGCTGTTAAACATTTCTGAATGCTTTGTTGCTGTTTAAATGGCATTCAAGGAAAAGACAAAGAGGCAACCACTGACTGTGCAGCAACCATTCCCTCCCTCCTCAGTGGGAAACAGCACATACTGTAAATGGACCAAAAACACACAAAGGAACTTTTACAGCCTAAAACTTTGCTCTACTTGAACATGAACTAGAACAAGGGAACCTTGAAATTTCATTACTGGTCCTCTTGAGTGAAGCAGTATAAAAATAAGAGAGTTTATGATCAAACCCTCTCCTACCCACAGTGTGATCTCAGGACAGTCATTCTTTTGCCAGCAGCATTCAGAGGATGTCTTGGGCTGCAACCAGCTCTGCACAGTCCCCTCTAACCACACAGTAAAACACCTTGTTTCCCTTCTCTATCTGAGCCCTGACTGCTCCTTCCTCTTCTTGGCATTCCTCATTCATCACTCTTTCGAAGGCTTTATGTTGACTTGGTCTCCCCACCTCTACTTTCCCCACCCTGCATTCATGAAGCTTTTTTTCTTCTGCAGCTCTCCATGCTCCACTGCTGTCATGAAAGAGATGGTCCCTCTTTCCCCTTGAGGGTGCCAACTGATTCAGAAGGCAGTAGCCAGCCTCAGGCAAACAAGCAAGTGCCTTTCTCCTTTTAAAGACCAGCTACGCCCTTGTCAAGAGAACAGAACGCACATTAACTTTGAACAAACAAAATAATGTAAATTCCACCACTAACCGTGGAATTTATCTGGCTGAACTTCAGCCATCAGAAAGCTGACTGCCTTGTATAAGCGAGGCACCTGAGCTTCTTTTGTAGTGAGCAGAGGGTGATAAGCCCTTTCAGGGAAGAAAAAAAAAAGAAAACCAAACCAAAAAAACCCTCTTGCAGTAGAACAGCTACATAATGTAGGTAGGATAAGTGCCTCTCCTCTTCCCATCATCACAGCTCTGCAGTTGGCTTTTATTTTCAGGGGA